CCCCCCCCCCCCCCCACTCCTGCATCATTTACCTGCCAGGTAGCACATGATCATGATCACGGCGGCTCCAGTTTGCGTCCTGAACGCCTCGGCACACATGTAGATCATGAGGAGGATGCACGTGAACACCGCTACACAGAACGTGATCGTCTCCATGGCCCGCACAGCGTTGAAGGTGTCTGGAATGTAACACGTGATCGTATCATGTTGTCAGCATGTCAACTTAAAATGACTGTGATATTTTTTGTGTATTTTGCCAGGTGAGAATGAGTTTAAAAACGAACTTTCACAAAAAAAAAAAAAAAGGGTTCCTGGGCAAATGGTAAAAAAAAAATTATTTGCAAATTGAAACAGAAAATATTGCACTACTAGGCCTTAACCGGTTGCAGCTTTTTTACACCGGGTACTTCGAGAAGTGGGCCTACAGACATGCCTGCGGGCCTTTAATCAATAGTCCTACAGTCATGCCTGCGGGCCTTGAATCAATAGTCCTACAGACATGCCTGCGGGCCTTGAATCAATAGTCCTACAGTCATGCCTGCGGGCCTTGAATCAATAGTCCTACAGTCATGCCTGTGGGCCTTGAATCAATAGTCCTACAGTCCTACACTATACCCGTAGCTCTGTAATAATAATAATAAAGTTTATTTAAAAAAACACGCTTCATCCCCAAAGGTTCGAAGCGCGGTACACAGTCAAAAAACAAATCTATAATTTACCACATTTAAAACAAACGCAACACTACAAAAACTAATTACAAGCAAACCAAGTCAAAGTCTTTCTTTCTAGCCATTTCAACCATAAACAACACAGCCATTATGCATTAAATGGAAAATATGGTAGACAATCATCCCAGAAGGTGTTTGCGAAAGAGATGTGTCTTTAAATATATTAAATTTATATTAATATAATAGTCGCCTGCCCCTAAATAATTATTTTACCCGAGTTCACTCGTCACACATGACAGCTTTTTTTTTTCACTCAGTACTATTAATATGAAACATGCGGGGGTGGTGGGTGGCAGTTTCAAAAAGGATGCAGGACACACCAGAAGCAACATATATTTAAGAGATTACAAAATCCATTCATTGCTAAAGCTCGGGTTTAAAACTTTAAACCTCACTGACTTGCGTAAGTAGATGGTTTAGAGTATGTTGCATTGCGAGTGCAATAAATATTATTTTAAACAAGATTGATGGAACGTGGTCGGCATCTTGATTTCGCTCCCGCATGAACTATGAAACAGCGAATAATTTTTTTATTTTATTTAAACGAGTAGGTGAAAGAAACTAGAACCCTTGGTAACCAACGCAAAGCTTCATCTAGTGACCAATTGTTCCAAGACCATCCTGTCGACCAAAGAAACTAGAACCCTTGGTAACCAACGCAAAGCTTCATCTAGTGACCAATTGTTCCAAAACCATCCTGTCGACCAAAGAAACTAGAACCCTTGGTAACCAACGCAAAGCTTCATCTAGTGACCAATTGTTCCAAGACCATCCTGTCGACCAAAGAAACTAGAACCCTTGGTAACCAACGCAAAGCTTCATCTAGTGACCAATTGTTCCAAGACCATCCTGTCGACCAAAGAAACTAGAACCCTTGGTAACCAACGCAAAGCTTCATCTAGTGACCAATTGTTCCAANTTTGAAATTTTATTATGAAATAAAAATAACATTATATTAAAGACGTACAGCTAATTAAAATTATGATTTAAATATTTTAAAGAATATTGTTATAACGTTTAAATGGTGTTCCCTGTTTAGTTTCTGAAACATTATAAACTGAAACACTGCCGTGATATTAACAGATGTCAATAAACAAATCTAAACAGAAACTTATTGTGTGTGACATTAGTAGGTTAATAATGAATATACAGCTATAATAATGTTATTTAAAAAAAAGAGAAATTAATTATGGACTGAAAACACGGACTGAATGCCATGTGTAGCAAAGTGGGCCATTAAGACATTGTCACACTCATAAAATGTAGAGATTCTTTCAGTGATTCAGTTTCACGTTCGATTATTCCCTGATTTATTATTGTCATTACCAAAGAGACAGATCATCACATCTACCTTTTCATAAACACTTAATCTGTCATCATAGCCCAACCACAGTCCCTCTCTAAAGAAATAAGGTGCACTTAGGTATTCGTCTCTATGCACATATTGTTGATCGATTGTCAATAGACAGATCTGAAAAGTTGAGTTAAAAAAATATCAATATTTTTTTTTTCATAATCCTTGATCTACGTCTCATTAACTCCACATAAAAACTAGATGATATAAATCAATAATTTAATTTATTTTATTCAATATAGCAATTACAATTGTTACAATATTATTGAAATAAATGAAACCCAGATATGTAACTGTTTTTTTTTTAAATATTTCTGTCATATAAATGTTTTGAAGCACGGATAAAATTTTAGTGAAAATAAAAAGAGAGGGTCTATTAACAAACAGGGGAGACGAAGCAGTTGAAAAAATGAATATATATCTTACTCTTACCAACACGAATTTTACTGCCAAAAATTTTTGACTTGTTTGTATACATATTGAATCAACCTAATTTTTATTAATTGGCAAACATTTTCCCCTTAAATTAAATTAAAACAAACAATAAAAAAACAAAGAAAAATATGTGCCAACGCTATTTATAAACCTGAAAAAAACATTTTTAATAGGCTCAGCTACATGGTAAAATAATATATTAAAAAATTCAAATTTATGTTTAGTTAATTCGGATTTTTAAAAAAAAATTAATATTTTTTTTCTTATCTATTATTAAGGGATTTCCTTAAAATTTGAAATAAATTAATTTTTTGAAGGATTTAGCATCATATTTTTTGAATAAATTGTTTGGATTTTAATTATATTTAAATATAACGATTGAAAATGTATTAAAAGTAGTATCAAAATAACAGGTCGTCATCAGCGCATGATGCCACCAGAGCATGGAGGCCATCACAACAGGTTGCAGGCAGACTCTGGGGAAGTCTGGAGGAGGTTGAAGAAAATGAAATGTCAGCAATCAAGAAGACAGTGATGCTTGAGTGCATTGATCGTTCTCATTCTGAACTTAAGATGAGATCAAGAGACACCAAGAAGTTTGCAGATATGCTTGAGTCTGTTCGGGCTAAGAGCGCACTATTGGAAACTGAAGTAGACTTACTGGTTCATTCCCAAAAGTGACCACTTTTTATGATGAGTTATCTGAAAGTGAACTTACAATTGAAATATCAAAGCTGCGGAGTCACCAGAAGCAGCAGATAATTTTCTCGACGAAGCGAACGATTGGTCAATATTTGAAGTTTTGACATTCATATCTAATCTGAAAGAGACCTCCTAGAAACTCTCCCAAATCCTCTCATTAAGCTTAGCATTATTTTATCACGATCTGTGTTTTCTATGTCATCATGCGAGAGGAGCTTTTCA